AGGATGTCCGACTGCAGCTTAGGCCTGCTCCCCGCTGGCAAGTGGACATCCCCCGAGGGCTGCCGGGCTGCCAGAGGGATGTCTGATTGCCATCTTAGGCCCATTCCCCCGGGGAGCAGGCCTAAGCCAGCAGGTGGTCATCCCCTGAGGGGTCCCAGACTGTGAGAGGGCACAGGCCGGGCCGAGGGACCCCCCACCCCTTGAGTGCACAAATTTTTGTGCAGCAGGCCTCTGGTTCTATATAATAAAAGCCTAATATGCAAATTGTCCCTACGGGCGGGAGTTTGATCGATGGGGAATTAGACATGCACTGACCACCAGGGGGCGGTGCAGAACATGGCGGGTGTTGGCAATGCAGCATTGGCAGCATGCAGCAGTAGAGGCGCTGCCAGCCCCAATGAGCCCTCATGAGAGCGGGACCACAGCAGGATGGTGGAGCAGGTGAGCGGGCAGCGCCAGGCCAAGGCAGCTGCGAGGGGAGGCCCCGGCCAGCGACGGCGACAGGCAGCTGGGGGAAAGCAGGCCCCAGTTGGAAGCCAGCAGCACTGGGCCTCTAGTTGTATAATAATTTGACTGGACTCTGTCCATGGTTTCTAGGAGGAAGCTGGGCTCCTCAGACCTGACCAGAGTTTGTACTAATGAGGTGACTCAGGGTGAGCCCCTGACAGTTTAAGGATGGGAGCTAGCCATATAGAAAATATGAACCATGAAATTAGAGGATTGGGACTTTGAGCCATAGATACCAGCCTGACCTCAAAACTGGGTTAGGAAAAGAGGCTAGAAATTGCATTTAATCAAGTGGTAAATTATTTAATCATTCCTATATATGAAACCACTACAAAAACTCTGAATGCTCAAAGTTTGAGTGAGTTTTCTCGTTGGTGATACACACAGGTGCTGAAGGGTGATGGATCCTGAGGAATAGAGTTTACATTTAGGATCTCCCAGACCTTGCCCTATTTCATTTGGCTGCTCCTGATTGTATCCTTTATAATAAAACTGTATAGTGCTTTCCTGAGTTCTGTCAGTCATTCTAGCAAATTATAAGGGGGAAGTGGCAATGTATAGCCAGTTGGTCAGAAGTGTGGGTGGCCTGGAAACCCTGGAGATTGCAGCTAGAGACTAAGGTGAGGGAAGTGTTGTGCAGGACTGTGCCTTAACCTTTAAAATCTGACCTAACTCCAGGTAGTGTGAGAATTGCGTTGCACATGGGGAAAGCAATTAAATACCAAAGACATAAGAAAAGCAGATAATATGCATATATGGACACAGACAATAGAGTGGTGAAGGCCTAGGAGGGGCTGGTGTGGGATGGAGAGAAAAAAAGAAGGGAAAATAAATATAAATAAAAACTGAAGGATAAAATAAAATAATAAAAAAAGAAAAGCAGAGAGAAGACAGGTTAACAGACAACAGAAGTGATAGTCATAATTAGGAATAATCACAGAAGCAGTCACCCATGGAATAAAAAATGAAAAAAAAGCCCGGCTTGGCTCAGTGGCTGAGCATCGACCTATGACCCAGGAGGTCACAGTTTGATTCTCGGTCAGGGTACATGCCCGGGTTGTGGGCTCAATCCCCAGTGTGGGACATGCAGGAGGGAGCCAATTGGTGATTCTCTCTCATCATTGATGTTTCTCTCTCTCGCTTCCTCTCCCTTCCTCTCTCTGAAATCAATAAAAATATATTTTAAAAAAATGAAAAAAGAAAAACCACACACACACACACACACACACACACACACAAAAGACAGTATTAAAGGCAAAAGAGACAATTAGAGGTGATAATGGAAGAATTGATAGGGACAACACAAATGGGGTAAGGGAGTTAAGATGACAAGCTAGTTAATAGTCTGGGGACTCATTAATTCATTAAAAACTACCTATTAATTGCCTGCTACATGTTAGACACTGTGCCAAGTACTAAGGATATGTAATGAACAAGAAAAACATAGCTCCCACTCTCATGAGGTTTACATTGTAGAGGGAAAGATAAATGTTAAATTGTGTAATTGTTATTGTGATACTTGCTACATAGGATAAGGATATAATAAGGGTTTAATAAACAGATCAGTAATAAGATAAATCTATAGTCCTAACACCTACACACCTTTATCTCTATTTGCAAATATTATGTACCAAAGTAGTACAGAATAATGTGCTTTTTTAAATTTTTAATTATAGTTGATGTACAATTTTATTAGTTTCATGTATACAACACAGTGACATTTATATATCTTCTAATGTGATCATAATAATTCTAGTAACCATCTATCACCATAGTTATTATGATATTATTGAATCTATTCCCTTTGCTGAATAATACTAGTTTTAAAGGGGTTTCATCAATAACAAAAAATTCAGATGAAATACTTACCTCACCTTCTACTAAAAATATTACATTCCCTTAACTATCTAATACTTAAATATTTCCCATATTTCTTTGTCAAATTTAGGTTCACCTTAACATACAGTTATAACCCCACTCAAATTTTAAAGTCATACACTTCCTAAAAAACAAACAACAACAAAAAACCACCAACAAAATTTGAGCTGTCAAAAAAAAACACCTCAAACAAAATAAGGATCAAATCATCAGATAAGACACCCTGACTTCTGAGCAAAAAAGACTTCGGATATGCATTTCATCAAGATTCAGAGGTCAGTTTCTACTAAATGTTGCTAATGATCAGTTTTGAGATTTTTAGAAAAGATGGATTAATTCTGAAGTTTTTGATATAAAATTCCCTAAGAACTCTTTCCAAACAATAGTTAATTGGATAACTAGAATTTCTTACCTGCAGTCATCTAACCGTACCAGAAACCGTACAATATCATGGTGAGCTTTCAGTACAAGCAGTTCAGTGTAGGGGTTCTGGGTTTGTTCTTCACCTATTGTCTGTAAAGCAGACTTCTTGTATTGGAAAAAAAGCCAAAACAAAAGAGAAAGAGATAAAATGATTTATGATAAAAGGCATACTGCAGTAAAACTGCATGGTATACATCTAAAAATATAAGATTTAAAAACATGTTCTCATACTACATAAAGGGTGGGGCAAAAGTAGGTTTACAGTTGTTGGTATGGAAAATAATAAACAATAATACAAGAATAAACTCTGTGTTTCGTATACTCACAACTGTAAACCTACTTTTGCCCCACCCTGTATTATTTCCCCTAATATCAATTGACTGCCAATTTAACACAAAACGTTTTTCTTACCACAAATCCACACCATAAATTTTTGTATTTTCAAGTCACAATAAATTTAGAAAAAGGGCAAATTTTATTCTATCAAATTATATTTCAATAAACCTGACCTAAAAAATTAATGGGCTAATCCAACTCAATATTTTAAAATGGGTGTTTCTCAATTGAAACTTGGCAGAAACAAAACTGCAGGTCAAAGGGGTAAAATATAAAACAGACTAAAGTAGTGCCTAAGCCCATTATAGGCACTCATTATATGTTTGCTGAATAAAGGAATTAAATCATTTAGAGTCAATGAATTCAATGAAATCAACTTTGAAAAATAACATTGATAAAGATAATTACTAACATTTACAAAGTATTAGGTGGCATCCCATATGCCAAACACTGCAAAGCACATATAACTGGATAACTCTGTAAGGTAGGTCTTATTAACCCCATTTCTGTAGTCAAACCCACTACAATTTTAAAAAAAACCTCTGTTCTTACCCTCTAAACTGCAGTTTTTTTAAACTTGACACTATTGACATTTTGGACCAGATAATTCTTTGTTGTTAAGAGCTGTCCTGTACACTGTAGGATGCTCAACAGCATTCCTAGTTTCAAATATTAGATGTCAATAGAAATTCACCCCACCCCAAACTGTGACAATCAAGAATGTCTCCAGACATTGCCCAATGTCCCCTAATGGGCAAAATTATCCCAGCAGAGAAACACTGCTTAAATTAGAAGCTTAGATTCAAAGTTCTTGCACAAATTAGGGCAAATCATTGCTTCAGATAATGTACAAATTCACTGCAGTTATAAAACTGAAATACTTTTACATGAAGAAATATATAACTTAACATGCATGTTCCCAAAAAATTCGCCCCAAAGCAGTAATTTTTTTTATTTATTGCATCGCCCTTTTAGCAGTGAAAATCAAAAGTGAGAATTCTGAAAACTATATACTACTTTCCCCAAATGAAAGCTTGTCAGGTATCGCAGAATTAGTTAATCAAATTCTATGATTCATCAAATAATGAGGCTTATACAGAATTGTCATATATATCCTATGTGGACTACTCAACTTTCCACAATTCTCCTATAATCTTTAGGATTTCAGCCTATCTTAAATACACCTAATTTCAAATAAGAAATGCTTTTTTAAAAAATAGAGAATAAGCTTCAAGTGCAAAGATATGAGAAAGTTAAGACTGAGAAGCAAGATTTCTGGATTTACAACAATCCAAGTTTCCTATTTTTAGTAGTAAAAACATATTTTCTATGAGAAATAAAAGGGAATTCAGCACAAATTATATTCTTGGGTGGCATATGAAATAAATTCCAGACCTCAGTATTTTTAAGTTCCAAAACTTTTATATTCGCAACATTTCAAATATAAATCTCATTACAGTCTACTCAATTATTCAGTCCCATGAAGAAAGCGTTGACTATGGAATCAAAAATAGCAATTAATTAGGAAATCATTTTCTTGACTTTGAAGCAAAATATTAATTTAAAAAGTTAATTATATCTTTTGGGTTCATGTATAAAAACTCAAATCAACTTTATACTTCCTGAGCAATTTGGGGAAGTGACACCAAGTAAACGAAAAAATGTAAAGTTGCAGTCACCACTTGTTTCTAGTACGTAGGTCAGATACTTTTTTAAATGGATATGAGACTTAAGTAGGGAGACTAGCTGAGTCTCCTTGAGCCCGCTGCTGAACCACATCAGCTTCAGTTTTCTCACCTTTTGGCACAAAGACACTGTATTTAACTCAGGGTCTTAGGAGAATCAAAAGTACAATGTAGCAGCAAAAAGGGGTGCCCCTCCCCCAACCCAACCTCCTCCGCCCGAAACCTGGCCTCACAGCATGCAAGCCCCTCCTCCAACAGGGTCATTGTTTCTAGACTCAGGATCCCAGCTCCCACAGAAGCTTCCGCCAGGCAGGCAGGCTCCACCCAGGGGTTTACCTCTGCCAGTCCCTGAGGTTCTCGGCTTCCCCCGATCAGCCATCGCAACATCAGGGTAAGGCCTCTTGCCGGGCCCAGGTCACAGTCAGCCCGAACTCTGCACTGGCCTCTACCTCCTCCTACTTCTCAGGAGCAGAGAGCAATGGAGCTGCTAACACTTTGCCGCCCCAGAAATGCCCACAGAACGTAGTAGTGCAAAGGAGAATCCACAGAAGCAGGAAGATATTTGTCCCCCAGGCGCTGCCGTACCCGCCACAGAGGCTTGGTTTGCGGTAGCCACTAGAGGAGCTGTAGCCCAAAGCTGGTGGGGTAGGGGCGAGGCTTCAAAGGCTCTAAGTGAGCAGGCGCAGGGGCGTTGCCCACTTTGCACGCTGAGCTTGGGTAGCTTGAGCGGCCCCTGGTGGATGCGTATGGCACAGCACCTGAGTCCGGCGAGCAAGTGCTTACCAATTAATAGTCCCCTCGCACCCTTACTTGGCTGGGGGACCAAGAAACTCTTCAATAGTTGGCTGCAGAAGGGGCCTCCACATCCGGACTAATCCAATAATAAACCCGGCCAACATTTTGTGTACTGTAGTACAGATACTGTTCTGAGGCTTTACATAAATCCTCACAGTAGCCCTATAGTCCCTGTTTTATAAAGAAACAAACTCGGAAAGATTAGGTAGTTTGTCAAAGGCTAACAGCTAGGAAGTGGATACACTGAGATGGGTACCCAATCTCCAAACTCCAAAACTAGTGCTCTTGACTACCCTGTACTGTCTAACCCAGAATATCCCTAAAGAATAGAGGACATTTCATCACTCCATTTTGACTACTAGACTTTCTTAGGTAGTCAAAGGGCTACGGTTCTCTACTCTGGCTGCATATCATAATTACCCAATATGTATTTTGAAAAATATATATTCCTGGCTTCTACCTGGATTCATTAAAACAATCTCTATGGTTAGAACATAAGAATCAGGGTTTGGGGAAAATTCCTCAGGTGAGTCATGAGTAGCAAGGTTTCCAAATCACTGACTTAGGAACTACTTATAAATAGGCCTGTAAATGTTCATACATATATTTGTACATGTGATTGTTAGGTTCAAATCAGGATAGTAGCAGTAAATTCTCAGAGAGAACCTAATACAAGTGTCCCAACCAATACATTAATTCAACAAACATGTATTGGCCACAGATGCATAGAGATTAAAAAAGTAATCACATAAAATTGCTACTTTTTGGATCAAGGCAGAATATGCTAGATACCAATAAGAGAAGGCTATACTTTCTACTTTAATGTATATTGGTTATGGGCAGTTTCCCAATCTAATTGACAGTCCCTAGGGAACTGGGATCTCCTATGATTCATCTTTGTATTCATTTTGAATGCACTTGACAAAGGAACACTCCCAAGGGTCAGGAGAAGATTGCCCCAAATTGCAGCCTGCATGCAGTTGAAGAAAGACTAAAAGAGTAGAGACTAGCCCCTGGACAAGGGGGATTCATCTTTCGTAAAACAAAACCCAAGAACATCAGGATTTTAGTCCTGGGAGGATAAACTTCAAGTGAGGCAACATGGTTGCCAGGTAGCCTAAATTTTATCCTGATTTTCCACATTATTTAGGGGTTTGCCCACTCCCTCATTACTCTGATCTAAGGAACACTCTTCTGGTCTTTAAATCACTGGTCCAGTGGTGAATAGTTTCTCCCTTGGTTCCTTTTAGTACAGCCGAGAAAGAACCTTATATAAGATCATACTAGACCTCAGGGAAGCTCAAGGAGTAGGAAGCATCAGGAATCCATTCCTCCACCTAGATGACAACAATTATACTGTCAGAAACTGTGTGGACTATTTTGGAACTCTGAAGTCTATTTAAAAGCTTGCAGCTTGCAGGGGAAATCTTGGCTAGCACAGGTTCTGGCCAGCATTGTTTCAACCCTAACTGACTGAAGCTGCTTCCAGGGGATTTAAAGAAATAGCATGTTTGGGGGTTTTTTCCCTACTGCCTTTTTCCCCCTCTAAGGAGCCAGACATTTTAAGGATTAGGACATTCAAAAGCAACCACATGTACAGAAGAATTTAGAAAGTAACCACACGTGCCCAGCAAAAGACACAGACTCAACTATGACCTAAGGAGACCTTTCACCTCAGACTAATCCCCACCACTGAGACACCTTTCAACAATCAAAAAATAAATAAAATAAAAACCAGCAAATTCTGGGGAAGAGGGACTGAGAAAGAAAAAACAACTCAGCAATAAAAGTAATAAAAGGGTATATCACTACAGACCCTATAGACATTGAAATAATATTATAAATTATACATGAGTTTTAAGCTCAAATGGATAACATAAATAATTGTATAACCATTAACAAAATTGGATCCAGTTTAAAATGGTCTGTAAAAGAAACTTTCAGGCCTGGATGGCAATACTAATGAAAATCCCGGGAGGATTTCTTATATACAATATGCTTCTAAAACTTATAAAAAGGACAAAGGAACTAGGATATACTGTGAGACATTGTGTTAGAAACCTAGAATACTACTCAAAACTTTAAAATTTTAAAAATAAATAAAATTATTTTAAAACCTTATAGTACCTGATCTCAAGGAACTTAGATTTTAGATTAGCATTGAGAACATTTTTCATTTATAGAAGAAATAACTGAAGTATAACAAATGATCCCATACAAATTAGTATTGATTAAATGTAAGGAGTAAGTTCTAAAGAAATCTGACTTTAAAATAATCATCAGTGTTCTAGAGATTGGTTACACAATAATGTGAATGTACTTAACATTACTTAACTGTACATTTCATAATGGCTTACTTGGTAAATTTTATATTATGTCTAAAAACATTAAAATGGGGAGTGATGTAATTAGCATGGCAGACCAACAGTTTTTTATGGACTTCCCTCAAAGACCATTGATTTAGACAACCACCCATGGAGGAGAGTGCCTTTGTGGAACTCTGGGAGTCCAGCATAGAAGCCCCAGCATACTAATGGAGCAACAACATCCAAGATTAGATGCATTCAACAGGGGAGGAAAAGCAGTTTCACTTTGTCCACATCACCCCTCTCCCAAGGTAGAATAGCTCAGTGCCAAAAGAGATCTTCTTGGCCCATGATTACTTTCATGGGGAAAACTGAGATCATCTGAAGAATTCCCAGCTGCCTCAGCTGTGCAGGAAATCACCAAAGGGAACCACTTCTTTCTCACCCCATCCAGAATACTGAGATGTATGACACAACTGGGGAGTGGCTGGGAGAACAGCAGCCATGGCTCTCAGAGGGCATCAAAGGAATATGGATCCTACTAACTGCTTCATGCACTGAATCAGGAAGCCCACCAATGAATTACAGGAAATGTGTAACCGATGGATCCCCCAAATTGGCCCATGGGCACTCCCAATGCTCTGCACACCTCACCCACACCCTACAGCTGGCTTTCTCTACATGCATGCCACTGATAGTGGTGAGAGTAAGGCTTTTCAGACAGTTGGTGAGCATGTGCAAAAAGCCTGCTTGACTACAGAATTGGGAGAAAGCACTTCAACTTGAGCATTCAGCACTGTTCAAGAGAAAATAAACAGGAGGCTGACAACATACAGTCTGGCTTTGCAGGATCAAGAGAAAGCATACAATCTTCAAGTATCCCCCAACCCAAGAGGAAACAAAAAGTGTGGAGCACAAGTATACGTAGAAAAGATTAAAGAAAGCCTCAGAATCCCTAACAAGGCTGTCAGAAAGTATTTTTCTCTGAAGCCAGTCAGTAAAGCCTACAGGAGGGGACTCCTTCAAATAAATGCAAGGACAGCAACACAAGACCAAGGAACATGAAAAATGAAATATGACACCACGAAAAGAACACAATAATCTTCCAGTAACTGACTACAGGAAATGAAGATTTTCATTTGTCCAATAAATAATCCAAAATAGTTGTTTTATGGACGGAAGTTCAATGAGCTACAAGAAAACACAGAAAGACAATTCAACAAAATCAGGAAAACAATACATGAACAAAATGAGAAGTTTAACCAGGAAATAAAAATTATTTTTTTAAATCCAAACAAATTCTGGAGCTGAAAATAAAATTAATAAAATTAAATAATTAATATAGAACATCAATGACAGGATCAAGCAAAAGAAAAAAATTGTGAGGTAGAAGACAGATCATTTGAAATTATTTAGTCAGAGAAGAACAAAGCAAAAAGAGTAAGAGTATAGAAAGCCCTTGAAAACTGTGGGATGCCCTTAAGAGAAACAGTGTACATATTATTCCAGTCCCAGAGGAGAAGAGAAGGAAAAAGGAGCAGAAATCTTTAAAATATAATGGCTAATGCCCTGGCCTGTGTGATTAAGTGGGTTGAGCATCATCCCATACACTGAAAGGTTGCTGGTTTGATTCGTGGTCAGGACACATGCCTGGTGGGGTGCATACAGGAGGCATCCAATCGATGTTTCTCTCTTTCTCTTTCTCCCTCCCTGTCTCTCCCTCCTTCTCTGTCTCTCTCTCCCCCTCATCTTCTTTCTCTCTCTCCTTTTCTCTCTAAAATTTATAAGAAAAAGGAGTTCATCACCACCAAACCAGTATTACATAAAATGTTAAAGGGTCTTCTTTGAGAAGAAAAAAAGATTTTAAAAAATATGAACAATAAAATGGCAATAAATATATATCTGTCAACAATTGAATCTGAAAAACAAAATAAAGCCCTAACCAGTTTGGCTCAGTGGATAGAGCGTTGGCCTGTGGACTCAAGGGTCCCAGGTTCGATTCCGGTCAAGGGCATG